CGCGAGCCGCGGCTTGCCGACCACTGAATCATTAGATTCTAATGATTGGTCTATTTGTGAGCCGAAGCCACATGTTACAGATGAAATTGGAATTTTTCCCACGGCACACCAGACAATATCTCACGGCACACTAGTGTGCCGCGGCACAGTGGTTGAAAAACGCTGAACTAATGGGACGGTCATCATTTATAATTATTTATTAGATTTATTTATTGAGGAATTTAATTTACTTTATATTTTATTCTCATTTTTGATTGAATCATGTCACAAGGTACACAGGGTATTTCAGATTTGTCATATAATTAATGACACTAAGTTGGAGATGTAATGTTTGTATATATGTTTATGGTATTCATTTTTGGAGCATGGCATTTAAGTTTTTAATATTTATGGTTTATTAACACATGATTATGAGGATGTGTATTAATGTCCTCGAACCACACTAATAAGTCAGCAATTTTTATATATTTTTTTTTTAGTGGCTCACAAGTACAATTTATATATATTAATTTAGTAATCTTAACGGCTAGATCACAATTTTGTGTACACAGAGTTCTGTGTTTTGTAAACCCAGAACTATTTGTTGTGGTTGGCCACAGCGGATCAGAAGGTTTCAGACAAAAATCATTGGCTGAAATATGCTGACAAATTTTGCGCTGTGTCCAATCACAGCATGGACCAGAACCCAGAAACAGGCGGTGACGTATGGGTACGTTGCCTTGCCTGTAGCTGCCACCTGCCCACAGATGTACTGTGAGTGGGTGGCAAGAAGTTAACATAAATGCCGTGTTATTTTAAGGCAATAGCTCAAAATATATTGCATAATTCTGCAGATGAGTTTTTTTATGAAGGGAAAATTCCAAAACCATATGAGCGGAATTGTAATACAAATAGAATGGAGCATGTGACCAAAAATAACAGCACTGCTTGTGCTGCACAAGTATCAGTGAGATGCATCAATAGGGACCATGCACAGGACAAAAATAGGCCTGATAACAATGGTAAGACTTTACAGAAAAAAGAAAACCTTGTACGCTCCATATCTTAGTGATTTGTGTTTTTTTTTTTTTTCCTTTTTTTTTGGGGGGTTTTTTTTATTTTAATTTCACGTGAAGTTTTCATGACATGAACCTAATAACTGTCATAACATCGTGGACTAGATCTTGAGATTTGAGACCGTAATGAGGCAGGCTAAACTCAAACTTGTTGCTATCCATGTGTAGATGAGTCAACTGTTGAACTGAAAGCAGTATTAAATCCAAAAGCAAACATTTATTATATTACAGCCATCACATCTCAGAATTGGTAAGCTGCAGTAGTTTCCTTTTTAGGCTTTCTTTCCTCTAGTTTGATCTAGTGATTCAGCCAGCAACTCTATTTTTCAGAAGGTCAAGCTCTCCAGCAGAATATATCAGTTTACATGGGTGAGACATTCCCTTTACCACTGGCAGGGTTGGTTAAAATCATCAGCTTTTTTGTATTCATGTAAAACTTTTAAATCCGTTACAGCTGGGGTTTTTTTTTTTTTTTTTTTTTTATTTTGGGATAAAGTCTGAGCTGGCGTTGGCTTCAATTTATTGTATTAAAAAATAAGCTCCTTGATGGCAGGGACTGATGTGAATGTATACATACAGTGCTGCGTAAATTGATGGTGCTACAGTGGGGATCGAAAGTTTGGGCACCCCATCTAAAAATTTGTATTAATGTGCATAAAGAAGCCAAGGAAAGATGGAAAAATCTCCAAAAGGCATCAAATTACAGATTAGACATTCTTATAATATGTCAACAAAAGTTAGATTTTATTTCCATCATTTACACTTTCAAAAGAACAGAAAACAAAAAAATGGCATCTGCAAAAGTTTGGGCACCCTGCAGAATTTATAGCATGCACTGCCCCCTTTGCAAAGCTGAGACCTGCCGGTGTCATGGATTGTTCTCAATCATCGTCTGGGAAGACCAGGTAATGTCAATCTCAAAGGTTTTAAATGCCCAGACTCATCTGACCTTGCCCCAACAATCAGCACCATGGGTTCTTCTAAGCAGTTGTCTAGAAAACTGAAACTGAAAATAGTTGACGTTCACAAAGCTGGAGAAGGCTATAAGAAGATAGCAAAGCGTTTTCAGATGTCAATATCCTCTGTTCGGAATTAATTAAGAAATGGCAGTCATCAGGAACAGTGGAAGTTAAAGCAAGATCTGGAAGACCAAGAAAAATATAAGACAGAACAGCTCGCAGGATTGTGAGAAAAACAATTCAAAATCCACGTTTGACTGCACGATCCCTCCAGAAAGATCTGGCAGACACGAGTTGTGGTACACTATTCCACTATAAAGAGATACTTGTACAAATATGGTCTTCATGGAAGAGTCATCAGAAGAAAACCTCTTCTACGTCCTCACCACAAAAATCATCGTTTGAACTTTGCAAATGAACATATAGACAAGCCTGATGCATTTTGGAAACAAGTTCTGTGGACCGATGAGGTTAAAATTGAACTTTTTGGCCGGAATGAGCAAAGGTACGTTTGGAGAAGAAGGGGCACAGAATTTAATGAAAAGAACCTCTGTCCAACTGTTAAGCATGGGGTTGGATCAATCATGCTTTGGGGTTGTGTTGCAGCCAGTGGCACAGGGAACATCTCACGAGTAGAAGGAAAAATGGATTCAATAAAATTTCAGCAAATTTTGGATGGTAACTTGATGCCATCTGTGAAAAAGCTGAAGTTAAAGAGAGGATGGCTTCTACAAATGGATAATGATCCTAAACACACCTCAATCCATGGGGGATTACATCAAGAGGCGTAAACTGAAGGTTTTGCCATGGCCTTCACAATCTTCTGACCTCAACATAATTGAAAATCTATGGATAGACCTTAAAAGAGCAGTGCGTGACAGACAGCCCAGAAATCTCAAAGAACTGGAAGACTTTTGTAAGGAAGAATGGGCAAAGATACCTCAAACAAGAATTGAAAGACTCTTGGCTGGCTACAAAAAGCGTTTACAAGCTGTGATACTTGCCAAAGGGGGCAGTACAAGATATTAACTCTGCAGGGTGCCCAAACTTTTGCAGACGCCATTTTTTTGTTTTCTGTTATTGTGAAAGTGTAAATGATGGAAATAAAATCTAACTTTTGTTGACATATTATAAGAATGTCTAATCTGTAATTTGATGCCTTTTGGAGATTTTTCCATCTTTCCTTGGCTTCTTTATGCACATTAATACAAATTTTTAGCTGGGGTGCCCAAACTTTCGATCCCCACTGTATATTTTAGGTAGCGCTACATTATTTTTAATTTTTTGTCCATAGATAATTAGGTATATGATTAGGTGTTAGCAGTGCCTTTTTTCTCTTTATATCTGTATTCTTTTAGTTAGGAGCGCAGGAGGTTTATACCAATATCATATAAAATAAATTGTATTATCACACAAAGATAACCCCAAATAAATACAAAATGCAGTTTTTAAATGATTTCATTTATTAAGGGAAAAAAGCTGTTCAAACCTGCCTGGCCCTATGTGAAAAAGTAAATGCCTCAACCCCCCCCCCCCCCCTTATATCATAAATGAGCTATTTGAAAAGTGGAGTTAAATTTCACTTGCCACACCAAGCTTGTTTACTGCCAGACCTGTTGAATCAAGAAATCACTTAAATAGAAACTGTCTGACAAAGTGAAGCACACTACAAGATCCCAAAAACCAACACATGCTGCGATCTAAAGAAATTTAAGAACCGATGAGAAATCAGTCATTGTAATTGACATGATTTAGTCAGCTTTGGAACTCCAGCGAACCAGGGTGAGAACCAATTATTCACAAATAGAGAGATCTTGGAACAGTGGTTTTGGCCAATCTGCCAAAATGACTCCAAAAGCACAATGACTCATCCAGGAGGTAACATCTAAAGAACTGCAGGCCTCACTTGCCTCAGTTAAGGTGTGTGTTCATGATTCAACAAAAAGAGACTGGGCAAAAATGGTATCCATGGGAGAGTTCCAAGGCAAAAGCCACTGCTGACCAAAAAAACACAAAGGCTGGTCTCACATTTGCCAAAAAACATCTTGACTATCCCCAAGACTTATGGGCAAATATTCTGTGGACTGATGAGACTAAAGTTTACCTTTTTGGAAGGTATGCATCCTGTTACATCTGGCATAAAAGGAACACAGAATTTCATAAAAAGAACATCATACTAACAGTCAAACGTGGTGGTAGTGTGATGGTCTGGGGCTGTTTTGCAGCATCAGGACCTGGATCACTTGCCATAATTGATGGAACCATGAATTCTGCGCTCTACCCGAAAATCCTGAAAGAGAATGTCCTGCCATCAGTTTGAGACTTCAAGTTCAAGCGCACTTGTGTTACGCAGCAGGATAATGGTCCGAAACACATCAGCAAGGCCATCTCTGGGGAAAAAAAAAAAAAAAAATCAAAATTAAGGTTTGGAAGTGGCCTAGTCAAAGTCCGGACCTAAATCTGATTAAGATGCTGTGGCATGACCTTAAAAAGGCTGTTCATGCTGGAAAACCCTCCAATGTGGCTGAATTAAAACAATCCTGCAAAGAAGAGTGGGCCAAAATTCCTCCACAATTATTGCAAACACTTAATTGCCAAGGGTGGCACAACCAGTTATTAGGTTAACTACCTGCCGACCGCAGATAGCCAAATGACGGCTGCACTGCGGCCGGCCAGTTCTGAGTGGACGTCATATGACGTCCTCCCAGAACGCGCTCTCCTGCGCGCCCCAGGGGGCGTGCACCTGGCGATCTCCGTGATCGCTGTGTCCTACGGACACAGCTGATCACGTGATGTGGTAAAAGGCCAATCACAGCGGCCTTTTACCACGTGATCAGCGGTGTCCAATGACACGCTGATCAGAGGGAAATGCAAGTGCCGGTTCTCGGCTGCACTTTCCTCACGCTGTCAGATCGTGAGGAAAGTACTGCCGAGAACCGGCAGTTGTCAGAGCGGGGATCGGCACCGATCATCAGGGCACTGATGATCGGTGCCCAGCAGTGCCACCCGCAAATTCCGTCCACCTGTGCCCACCAGTGCGCCCACTAGCTCCGCCCAGCAGTGCACCCACCTGTGCCACTCTGCAGTGTCACACACCTGTGCCCAGAAGTGCCACCTACCTGTGCCCAGAAGTGCCACCTACCTGTGCCCACCAGTGCCACCCACCTGTGCCCGCCCACCAGTGCCACCCACCAGTGCCGCCCAGCAGTGCTGCCAGTCAGTGCCCAGGGGTTGTGCCAGTCAGTGCCGCCAGTCAGTGCCGTCTATCAGTACCCATCATCAGTGCCACCTATCAGTGCTGCATATTAGTGCCGCCTATCAGTGCCGCCTATCCGTGACACCTCATTAGTACTGCCTATCAGTGCCCTTTAGTGCTGCCTATCAGTGCCCATCAGTGCTGCCTCATCAACGCACATCAGTGAAGGAGAAAAAATACCCGTTTGAAAAATTTTATAATAGAAACAAAGAAACTTTTTTTTCAAATTTTTTGCACTTTTTTTTTATTTATAGCGCAAAAAGTAAAGTGCCCAGTGGCGATTAAATACCACCAAAAGAAAGCTCTATTTGTGAGAAAAAAATTATCAAAATTTCATGTGGGTACAATGTTGCATGACCGCGCGCAATTGTCAATCAAAGTGCGGCAGCGCTGAAAGCTGAAAATTGGCCTGGTAAATAAGGGGGTATAAGTGCCTGGTAGGCAAGTGGTTAAGGGGGAAATTACTTTTGCACATAGGGCCATGCGGGTTTATACATCACTTTTCCCTTAGTAAATCAAATCATTATTTAAAAACTGCATTTTTTTGTTTACACGGGTTATCTTTGTGTAATTTGTTTGATCTGAATCATTTAAGTGTGACAGATGCAAAAATAGGGGAAAGGGGAAAATACTTTTTCACAGCACTGTACCTGGTTAGAAAGAATCTTGGATGCCTAAGTAAGACTTCTGGTTCCCAGGGGTAGAAGCTAGAGTTTGGCTCTCTGCCTCTCCTCTGCTTTATAGTATCTATTCTGCTTTGCTGGGGTATTAGCTCCATCTTGGATCTGAGGGCTCTAATTGTCTTTATTCAGGTGCATTTTTTCCCATGGAATTCACCAGGTACTTCAGAGCTTCCCTCCAGGGAGATGTTCTAGCTCATGTGTACATTAGGCATGTGTGCTTGCATATCCCAAACTTTCCAACACATCCTAAACTTTCTTCCTGGCCCTAACATTTGGTCTTCCTTCTTCACCCAGAGTGTTCACCAAAGTACCAGCCCCAACACTAGCCTTGTTATGCTACAATTGATCAGACCAGGGATGAAATGGGACAGATGAATGTCAGCATCTCCCCTTTTCCAGTCACAGGACACCTTGTATTCTATGAGTAGAATACATGACATTGTCAAGATGGAAATCGAGAGAGATGCTGCTCTTGACTATTTTACAGTGCCAAAAGTCTAGCACTTATAGTAGTGTCAGGACTGCAGGAAATTGGGTTTTCACCTAACTCTGCAGCCAGTCACACATGGGAAAAAAATTTCCAAACTTGGGTGTCCGTTTTAAGAAGGAGAGAAAAGCTGAGATCCTAAGGCAGGCCATAGACGAGCCGTTTATCGGCCGAATTTTCAGTCGATAAACGGAAAAAGCGGTCGGCCCCGTTGCTGATGCTGCCATCCATGTCCACAAAAAACGGACATTTTTTGCGGATTTTCCAACATGACCTATATAAATGAGGAGATCCGCGAAAAATGGCCGACGTGCTGGCCCCACTAACGGCGTGATTATTAACCGATTTTTCGTGCGGAAAATTCGGCCGATAATCAACCCGTCTATGGCCTGCATAAGGATCACAGCTGATCTTTCAGGTGTGCCAGTTTATGAAGCTGAGGTGAGGAGCAGAGAACATTTTCTTCACTTCTCATTACAGGACACACCTGTTGTGTTTGAGCTGTTTCTGCATTGTTTTGCGTTGTGTTTTTTGCACTAGCGCTATTGCTGAGTTTTTGATGCATTTTGCAGGGTTTTTTTTTTTTTTTTTTAATTTCTTTTATTATTCTTGTTGCTAGACAGATTTTAAACGCATCAGAAATAGGGCAATACATGCAAGGTTTCCATTGAAGTTTATAGAACCAAAAATGCTACTTTTCGCATTCAAAAAAAGTCCCTAGCCCTTTCCGAAAAACGCACCAGGTGAAAATGCACAGGTGTGAACATGTCCCATAGGAAATCATCTTAAATGGACTGTACTGCGTTTCTGCAAAACTCTGTGAACCTAGCGTAAATGTGTGTTTAGAAAAGTGCCAAAATGCACATAAAAAAACCCCACATCAAAATGCGTGTTAAAAAAATACAGCATGTTAAAAAGCGGCAAAATGAACGTAAATAATGCTAAAATGCCCAATAAAAAAGTCAAAATACACCTTTAAAGAATGTGCCAAAACATACATAAAAAAATACAGGTGGTAAGTGCTTATTATTTTCATGTAATGGTCTTTTTAACTTTGGTTTCACTGACAGCTCGAGAGGAGAGCCAGTAATCGGCATCCCTCAGAGGGGACATCTACACTGATGATCAGTGTGCCCTAATGATTTGTGTAGCCCCAGCAGTGCCACCTGTCAGTGTCCATCAGTGCCAGCTGTCAGTGCTCATCCATGCTACCTGCCAGTGCCACATCAATGCCACATATCAGTGCCCACCAGTGCACATCAATGCCACATATCAGTGCTCATCTGAGTTGCCTTTCAGTGTCACCCATCAGTGCCAGTCAGTGTCACCCATTAATGCCAGTCAGTGCTGCCAATCAGTGCAGCCTATCAGTGCCCATCACTGCAGCCTCATTAGCGCACATCAGTGAAGGAGAAAAATCACTTATTTACAAAATTTTATAACAAAAAGTTAAAAAAAAAGCGTTTTTTTTTTTTTCCCCAAAATGTTCAGTGCTTTTTGGTTTAAGAAAAAATAAAAAACCCAGAGGTGATAAATACCACCAAAATAAACCTCTGTCTCAAAAAAATGCTAAAAATTTCATATGGGTACAGTGTTGCATGATCGCGCAATTGTCATTCAAAGTATGATAGCACTGAAAGCTGAAAATTGGCCTGGGCAGGAAGAGGGTATAAGTGGTTAAACTCAGGTGATCTGTAATTACACAATTTCACAAGATCACATGCAGCCCTTCCCCCTTCTACACAGATCTCAGCTGTTCTCAGAGGAAAAACATCTCTCTTCTCCTTCTGAGAACAAATGTTCTCCGCTTCATAAACGGGGACAGGGGAGAAGATTTTTCCCTGAGATCTGCAGAGAACTGAAATGAGATAAATTATCTCTGATTAATAAACATACACCTTAGTGCTAAAATTCAACCACTCAGTGCTTGGTCTCAGGTCGATAACCATGTTACATCACACCATAAGTGAAACACCACCACTTCCACCTAAAGTTCCTTTATAAGGTACCCTGGTGATTCCTCAAGCTCTGTAGTGACCAGGGCTTCACTACAGGATGCTCCCCACTCAGTTTACCCTGTTCTCTTCAGGCACGCTTACCCCATTTCCACACTCTACTCAGTGAAAGTATTCCCTTGTGCTGTTCTCAGGGACAGCAATGGCAGAAAACCAGGTACAAGGGAACTGGGGAAAAATTTCAGGCTAATATTCGCTCTGCTGAAGGCCTACTAAACCCTCAGAGTGATGATGCTTCCCTTGCACCAGAGCAGGACCCTATTTTAACACTAACATAAAACAAAATTGACAGTGCTGTGACCCCACAAATCCAGTTCGAGGTAAAGCATCACATCGGTGCCCCTCTCTCAGCCTCAACAAGCCAATTCCATATCAAACTACCAAAGGACCTGGCAACACTGTGAGCAGCAGTCAATTATTTATTGAAATTGAAGTTAAACACGAAAGGGGTATAAAATCCAGGGAATGGATACTGACGCGTTTTAGCCTCTGCGGGCCTTACTCATAGCAGCATGCGAATATCAATAAAAAGTAAACTGCAGATCACTGTGTTGCTAGCTCCTTTTATTGTTTCCTATTTTAACACGGTCTCTGCATCCGATTCAAGCTCTCTGTAGAGAAACACGGCTCTTCTGACTAAGGCAGATTTTCTAATGAAAAGGGGTGGAAGTGGTGGGGGGAGGGGTGGGGGGAAAGATTTCTCACTCCCAGTCTTGTATGCATAAAACCCCTCCTGTATTAGACTGCCCGTCACAAAACACATCTTTGGAAAGCAGAATTGTTAAACTGGGGGGAGGGTATTGTTAGGTCTCTTTCACACTTGAAAAGGTCAGCACATCATTTTTTTTTTCTGATCTAAAATGCAGCCCATTGTTTACAATATGCCTGTAAGAAGTGCTGTTTATTATTGAGTAAAAAAGAAAAAAATCGGGCTTCTGGTCAGTAATTTGCATCGCTGTGCATGCGAATATGTGCAAACAAAAAATTCTTGAAATTAGGTTCAGAAATGCAATAAAACATCAGTACGATGTGCAAGAGGCATTAGACGTACTAGCAGATTTAGAAGCACTAACAAACTGAAGCCAAACTTTAGCTAAACCCTTTTAAGCAGTTACAGCAAACGCTTGCTGACTATTGTAAGCAAAAAGCTGACCTAAACACCGTTGTCGGTGGTCAAATGGTTTGTTTCAACCCTCGAACTGCTGCATCTGAACAGCTTGTTCTGTTGAGACTTACCAGCCAGCTCACCAGGTGAAAATAAAGGAAGCTAATGCATCTAAGCTACATCTAAGAAATGACAAGCTGAATTATGGGTTTGCTTTTTGGCTTAATATCACTTTAAAAGGTTTTTGCTCTTGCAGGCCCAGCTCTGCAACCAACTATTGCTGCAGTTTTTATTTGTCAAACCACAGATAGTTGGACTAGATCAGTGGTCGGCAAGCCGCGGCTCGCGAGCCACATGCGGCTCTTTACAAGCTTAAATGCGGCTCTTCTGTGTGCCGGGCGCCCGCTCCCCTCCCTCCTCTCCCCTCCCTCCCCTCCCTCCCCTCCCCTCCCTCCCCTCCCTCCTCTCGGACGGGCGTGTGCCGGGCGGCCGCCCCCTCACCTCACCTCCCCTCCCCTCCCTCCTCTCGGACGGCCGCCCGCTCCCCTCCCTCCTCTCGGGCGGCCGCCCCAAAAGTCAGGACTCTGCAGCTGTCAGGATGTAGGCGGGGCAGCCAGGATGTAGGCGGGGCAGCGTGACGAACTCCTCTCCTCTCACAGTCCGCCCTGAAGACCAGAACGGCGCGGGAAGCACGACGAGAGGAACGCGCGGAGCAAAGGTAAGTGAATTGACACAGGGGGGACTTACTATATGGGGGATGAATTACTATATGGGGGGGGACTTACTATATGGGGGACTTACTATATGGGGGACTTACTATATGGGGGACTTACTATATGGGGGACTTACTATATGGGGGACTTACTATATGGGGGACTTACTATATGGGGGACTTACTATATGGGGGATGAATTACTATATGGAAGATGAATTACTATATGGGGGGATGAATTACTATATGGGGGATGAATTACTATGGGGGATGAATTACTATGGGGGATGAATTACTATATGGGGGATGAATTACTATGGGGGATGAATTACTATATGGGGGATGAATTACTATGGGGGATGAATTACTATGGGGGATGAATTACTATATGGGGGATGAATTACTATATGGGGGATGAATTACTATATGGGGGATGAATTACTATGGGGGATGAATTACTATGGGGGGATGAATTACTATGGGGGGATGAATTACTATGGGGGGATGAATTACTATATGGGGGATGAATTACTATATGGGGGATGAATTACTATATGGGGGATGAATTGCTATGGGGGATGAATTACTCTATGGGTGATGAATTACTCTATGGGGGATGAATTACTATGGGGGATGAATTACTATATGGGAGATGTATTTTCAGTTTTAAAAATGTGGCTCTCAAAATAAATTTCAATCGTGGTTTTGGCGAGATTTGGCTCAGTTGAAAAAAAAGGTTGCCCACCACTGGACTAGATCAATGAACAACACACACAATCCTGTACTCCATGGCTACCCTTGGCTGAGCAATTACCTTCTGCTTTTTATTTTTGCATGGATACACTAGAACAAGCAATGACAAATCTTCAGAATGGCTCCGATTTCTGTTCACTTTCGCAGAATCTTTTTGACTCAAAGCCAACTCTACTGAAGCGGTTTGTAAGATGCCGCATACATATTCCCTTTGAATGAGGCCCCCTCTTTGGTGAGGCACTTGACAAATTCATTAAAAAAGTCACTGGAGGAACGGTCCTTCTTCTACACCAGAAGGTTCCAAAATCCCCTTCTTCAGCAGATTCTTCCTCTTCAAAAATGTACTGAACTCACTATTCTACATGGGCTTCAGCTGCTAAGCCAAAATTCAGCCCTTCCTTTCAGAACAAGACTTGTAACACAAAATCCACCAAGTCTACCTTTAAAAACTCTTCACAATGACAGAACGCTGTCATGCCTAAGAATGGGGAGACATTTGCTATAGTTTGCCATTCTCTGGGTCACAGATGTCCCAGAGCTGTAAATTCAGTCAGTAGTTTGAGAGAGGTACAAAATAGAGTTTCAAACTTTCCCCTTCACGGCTTTCTTCTTTCAGGTCATACAAAACCTATTCAAGGTCATATTTGCAGAATGCCTTGAACCACCTCTTCACCCAGGAAGTAGTCTTCTTAGTACTTCTGGAGGACACTTTCAAAGGCTTCTATTCAGACTTGTTCACAGTACCAAAACCCATCAAATGTTTGTCCTATCCTGGACCCAAAATCCCTAAATGAGTACCTTTATTAATGTCCTCTGAGACTATGGCTTATTCCTATCTTCATATTCCCAATTGCCCAACTCCACAGTGCTTTGCAGTAGGAAACAAACCTTTCCAGGTTTCACACTGCCATTTGGTCTATCTTCTGCTCCCTGAGTATGCACAAACGTATTTGCACCCCTTCTTCCCCTTTTGAGGACTCAGGGCATTCAGGTCAGAGGGAATCTAGGCAACCTTCTTCTGAAGAACTCCTCTACCTTCCATCTATCTGCTAACCTCCATAGGACTATACAAATACTTCATGTTTTCAGTTGGGTAATCCAATTTCAAAAAAATGTCTCTCCAACCATCCCTGCACCCTGGAGTACTTGGGCTACATTCATGAGTCTAAGGAAAAGTATTCCAGAAAATAAACTGGTCTCTCACAGATCTCTCAGGCCTTGAGATCAAAGAAGCTTCCCTTTTGAAGTCTTGGCTTCATGGTGGCCTCAGAGACATTTCCATTTGCCCAGTTGCATTCAAAGCCCCCCCCCTAACACTACATCTTGTTGGCATATAACGAACATGTCACTCTCTTGACATGCATATGTTCCTATCCAGCAAGCAAGGAACTCTCTAGCTTGGAGGTTTTACAATCCGGTCTTGGTAATTGGGAAGTTGTTTCTACTATACTACTGGTGATAACCAATGCCGGTCTCTCAGACTGAGGAGGAGTATTCCAATCTCTCACAGGGAACATGATTTCTAGAGGGAGCCAAGGTCCATGTCAACTTTTAGGAGCTCAGAGTGATGAACATGGCTCTGCAACACTGCACTCCCCTTCTGCAGGGCCTCCCGATCAGGGTGCAATTGAAAAACAACACAGCTGTGGCCTTCATCACTGACTAAGGGGGCTCCAGGATTCACACAGCCTTGAAAGAAGCAAGTCTGATCATCTAATCGAAGGAAAAGACTGTCCAGTGAGCTCTGTTCTCTTCATCCCAAGAGTGGACAAGTGGAAGGCAGATTACCTTGCTTATCACTCTGGATCAAAGGCTTTTAACCCCATCATCTTCAAGTTGATATGTCAGAATTTGGGG